GAGTCAACTCTGAGCCGGTGAGATTTGAACCGCTGACCTGCTGATCTAGCAGTAGCCTGCAGTGCTGCATTTAACCACTGCGCCACCTTGGCTCAGAGTCCAAGGATAAGCAGAAGGTCCTACAACCGGCCACCAAGAAACAGGAGGGTCGGAGTCAGCCTTTTTACCGTAGACAGCCTTTCGTGGTCAGGACGGGGGTTCCTCCAACTCCCGTCCGCAATGCCAGGCTCCTCCCAGACAGGGCCCCTCCTTCTCCAACAGATCAGGCAGGAACAATCAGAGATTCCAGCCCAGAAAGTCATTCAGGGACAACAATAACTGCTCCTATAAGAGGCAGAAGTGACTGCCTGGAGGATCTCCCAATCGGGGGACATCTGGCGTGCTTCGCGGATCGTTGGGACGACATCACCAACGACACATCCACCATCAGATTCGGCCTTCTCTTGCGCTCCAGCCCTCCAAACCACTTTGTCATGTGCCCAATCTCCGTGGATCTTCACAAGAGGCTCCTCGTAGAGCAGGCCATCCATCATCTGCTCCACATACGGGCCATTCAACCTGTGCCTCAGGGCCAGGTGGGACGGGTTTTTACTCTCATCTCTTTATCGTGCCAAAGTCTTCAGGGGGCTGGAGAGCAATCCTCGGTCTCAAATTTCTCAATCTGTTCATCAGGTACAAGAGATTCAAAATGCACTCTCTCCTATCAATCCTACAGAGTGTATGCAAACACAAGGCTTACCTCCACATGCCTATTCACAGTCAACACAGATGGTTCCTACGCTTTGTCTATGTGGGCTGTCACTTTCAATATTGGGCCCTCCCCTTCGGGCTATCATCAGCCCCGAGGGTTTTCACCAAACTCCTGGCAGTCGTAACAGCCCACTTGCGAGCCGGACCCATTCGGATCATGTACTACCTGGATGATATCCTCTTATTGTCCAGGTCACACAACCAGGCTCTTTGGGATCTCCAGGACACCTTACAGGTGCTTCAGGGGGTGAGATTCTCCATCAATCAGGAGAAGAGTCATCTGGTTCCCACCTCACATCTAGTGCACTTAGGAGCCCGAATCGACTCTTCACAGGGAACAGTCTTCCTGTCTCGGGAACGCCAGGTCAGCCTCAGGGACTTGGCCAAAGAGGTGTGGAGGAGACAGCTGGTCCCTCTTCTCCAGCTGTCTCAACTGCTGGCGAAGATGGTCTCATGCTTCTCCATCGTTCCTCAGGCACAGATTCACAGCCGCGGCTGGTTTCTTCTGCCATTTCAGAAAACCAACAGCAGTGGTTCCCTAGTGAAAGTCAGGTTGACTCCAAAGGTACTTCAATCTCTAGACTGGTGGATATCCCCGGCCATATCTCGGAGATCCCTCTTCAGAGAACCTCCTTGTCTTGTAATCACGACGGAAGCAAGCTTAACGGGATGTGGCGCCCACCTGGAGAATCAAGTAGCTCAGGATCTCTGGTCCGATTCTGACCTCTCCCACAGTATGAATTGGCTAGAGTTGAGGGCCATTCATCTGCACTTCCAATCCTTGCTCTGCAACACACATATGCTGATTCTGACAGACAATACAACAGCCAAGGCACACGTCAATCGCCAAGGGAGGGGACGAGGGCAGTATCTCTCATGGAGTCTGCCTTTCACCTAGGGATCTGGCAGAAGCCAACCTTCTCTCTCCATGCCGAACACATCTCAGGCACCAATAACACCAGGGCAGACTGGCTGAGCCGCACAACAATCGATCCTGCGGAATGGAGTCTGAACCATTGCATCTTCAAACAGCTGTTGTCCAGGTTCGGGACTCCAGTTCTAGATCTCTTCGCAAAAGCGTCCAACAAGCAGCTGCCCAGGTACATGTCTCGTTACCCGACACCAGGCGCGGAAGGGACAGATGCCTTAAGGTGCAGGTGGCTTCACGGTCTCCTGTTTGCCTTTCCTCCCTTCCCCCTAATACAGAGGGTGATTCGGAAAATGATAGAGGAAGAGACCAAGGTCATCCTAATCGCCCATCATTGGCCGCCCACCCTGGTATGCGGACCTGGTCAGTCTCTTAGTAGGCCCAGAGTGGCATCTTCCAATGATAACATCCCTTCTTCATCAGGGATTCATCCACCATCCCGACCTGCTCTGGCTCCGCCTAACCATATGGAGGATGAGTGGGCGGTGTTGAGGGTGGATAACCTTTCTGAGACTGTAATTCAAACTATTCAGGCTTCCCGACACCCAGCCACTAACAGAATCTACGAATCTACATGGCAGACTTTCATCACTTGGTGCCTTTCTCGAGATGTTACTCCCTTGGAGGCCTCAGTTCCCCAAGTGTTGGAATTCTTGCAGCAGGCGCTTGATAGAGGGCTCTTGCCTAACACACTTCGGTGGCAGGTGTTGGCCCTCTCTTCGGTTCTCTCTCTTCACCGGGATGAACCTCTCTCCTTGCACCCTCCGGTCTGCCATTTCCTTAAGGGCATGTCTAATCACTGCCCTCCTGTTATGCACCGTTTCCCCTCGTGGGATCTCGCCAAAGTACTTGACTTTCTCACTCAACCGCCTTCTGAGCCTCTCAGGTCAGCCTCATTGCATCACCTTACTCTGAAGACAGCCTTTCTGGTGGCAATCACGTCGGCATGACAGGTCCTGGAATTGGTGGCCCTTTCCATCAGATCTGATCTGTGTGTATTTCACCTGGACAGTGTTGTCCTTTGCCTTGATTCCACTTTTGTTTCAAAGATAAAGTCGACGTTTCATCGATCTCTAGACCTCACTCTTCCAAATTTGTCCTAATCCTTCTCACAGACTTGAGCACAAGTGGCACAGATTAGACGTGCGGCGTGCTCTTAAGATCTATATTGCTACAATGGCCACCTCCAGGCGCACCAAAGCTCTCTTCGTGTCTTTCCATCCCACAAATAAAGGACTAAAGGCTTCTCCATCAATGGTCGGACGCTAGATCCGCTCTGCTATTTCAAGGGCCTACCTGGCACATCACCTTACTCCTCCATCCAACATCACGGCACATTCCACGCGCAATGCGGCTACATCAGCGGCGTGGACTCGGCAGGCCTCGGTGGAGGAGATCTGCAAGGTGGTTACCTGGACTACTCCTGCCCCTTTATCCGCCATTATAAAGTGGATAGATACGCATCGGTGGATGTGGCATTCGGGCGTCAGGTCCCCCAAGGGGTTCTTCCTTCTTCCAGCTCCTAGGCCAGCCTTTTCCCACCCGGGGTCCAGCCTAGCTTAGATACATTCCATGTATGACCGCTGTCTCCACCAGCTTTGGAGAATGGGGTGTTGGTTCTTACCTGATACGCCCCTTCTCTGGGCAGGTGGAGACACCGGTCATCCCCATCCTTTCTGGTCCTGGCCTAGTTTGCAGGGGGGGTTCTGGGAGAAATATTGAATCACTGTGGGATTGAGAGCAATCGAATAGTGCACAGCAGTCTACTTATCTCCATCAAGAAAAGCGGGAGGACACTCCTCAGAGGCGATGACATCACTTTGGTAGACTTAGTTCTATTGTTTACTGGCTGAGTTAACCCATGCATGACCACTATCTCCACCTGCCCAGAGAAGGGGCGTATCAGGTAAGAACCAACGCCCCAATCTAGTGATTTAGGCAATGACCTGATTAATCTCAGTCTAATTCAGTGGCTTCCGGATTTGACTTAAAACTTGATCCAAAATTAGGTTTGAAAAGCCACATCTTTGAAACTGAATATAATAACATGACATAAAATCTGATATGCAACAGAAACAAATCAAAAGAAAGTTATATTGCATATCAGCCTTTGTAAATTTTCTCAAGTCATACTTTTAAGTTTTAAGACGAAAGCTGTTATGAGCTTGGACTAGAGGACTTCTGAGGTCCCTTCCAGGCCTATGATTCTACATTTGTACCACATCTTTTTCTCCATCACTTTTATAATCCAGGTTTTTGAAAGCAGTCTCAATTTCTGTTTATCCAATAAAATATGTTGTTCTTCTATATTCCCTGCTATAATATTAAACAATCTTGAAAGTAACTTCTGAGTGCATTGTTCCCAAACAGCCTTAATTTTTTAAAATAATCTAATAGTGTTGGTTCATTGTAATAAAGGACCTGTCCTCCTTCAAGAGTAATCCTTTGCTCTTTTGGTTCTCTATAACCAGTCTTCCATTCTCTTCTTATCATCTTGTTTATTTTGTTTATTGTCAACAATTTTTTTTCATAGAAGGGTTTCTTACAACTGATTTCAAAGACTTCATGTATTGTTTTATATATTTTTAAGCACCCATAGGAAATATTCTTTCAAGTCCATCTAGCCAAAATAATATATTAGTCCCCCTTTGGCTGTTTTCCAGATATTAAAGCTTGTCATTTTTCAAAAGTCAGAGTCTTTCTTTAAACATTGCTTTGAAATTGCAATTTGCTGTACACAGCAACCTGGCTTAGATTGTTCCCTTCTTGGAAAGGGTCTAATTCCTCATCTGTATTCCATTAAAGGCTCTAAAATATGCTGACCACACTTGTCTAATTGTGGTCTTCATAAATAGAGTATGAATTAAAATACATTAGAAAGAAGTGTAGTTAGTGCTTGATTCTCTTTCTGACTAGAGCTTGCATGAATTTAATGTACAGTACTATAAAAAGCACACGAACACAAAACCAATACCTTTGTTGTTCATGTAGGTAATATGCACTTTAAACTGAATCAATGAACACCAAATTTATGGTTTTGTGTTTTGCTTTATAAATAATTTCTGTAAGACTTATGGCTGTGCACTTAACAAACTTGAATATTTCTATAACCCCAGATAACTAGATAATTCAACAGTAAATCTCATCAGTTGAAAAGCAATTAAACTTTCAATCAGTTTTTCTTGTTCCATTTAGGAGACTTGAAGCAAATGCAAAGGAAGCCAGTATGCCTAAGAGTTAGTGGACTCAATGTTTTATGAAGCACCTTTGAAAGATGTTTCATACAAACTTCCAACACAGGCATATTGAATATGTAATAATTTCAATAGTGTTCTGCGATCAAGTTATGAAAGAATTGTGAATTTACAAGTTGGAAAGCATAAAAATAGTTTTACTATGCTAAAACTGATTTACAAGCATCATCACAAACTCTTCTGTATTCTACAACTTGCATCTCTAACCTTACAGAAAGGCAGTTCTGAATGGGATTTTCATACATTTCATTAATGTGTCTGTGAATGAAACACTTGAAGTAGATTCGTCTTGGGTCTTAAATGATAATTCATATTTTGTGGCCTTCTACACTCTTAATTACTTAACCATTTATATTAAGAAAATATTAGAGTAATTTTTCAAATATTCTGTGATTTTTAAACAATATATTAATTTTTTCATTTAGTTTATTTTGATGGATACTTTCAAAATATCCTATTTAATTTTTCCAGAGTCATCATATTCCTACTTTCTAAATGGTTTCTGCACTAAAACAGACCCTTTCCCTGTTCAGACTGTTACATATGTGAATAGAAAGCCTTTGGACAGAGGCTTCACTCAGGTCCATCTAGTAAATAGGAATTACTATACTCAAAGATCATTTATCAATTTGAACGGCAGGAAAATAGAGCGATCTCAGTGGCTGGGTTGCCTTGACAGGTCTCTTTAAAAGAAATATCAATAACAGAAAGCTGTAAAAGTGTAATTGTGATTTTAATGTTTGGAAAATGTCAAATATTTTTTTTAAAAAAAATAAAATAAAATAGAGAGAGCTGTCAGAGAGCCACTTCACTTTGGTGTACCTACTCAATAAAGAGCTGAAAATGCTAGCCCTGCCTCTTCATTCAACCCCAATTTAACAGAACCTTTTCCTTGTGCTTCGGAATAATTTATCCTATTAGTAATAGCTAAAATGGTATTACCCACGAAATAAAAAGCATCAGAAGAAATTCCCAAGGTTTGCAGAGGTTTTAAAATAAAATTTACATTTTTTACACGTAGGAATTTAACTTATCTTTTATCTGTTGCAGTCATCTTTATCAAACAGTGATATCATCTTTGTGAAGTTGCATGCCCCTTGGGAAGTCTTGGGAAAATTTGCAGAACTTATGAATGTAAGAATGCCTTTCAGGTAGGTTTAATTACAATCGTGGAGAATGTAACATGACATGGTGTTGCAATTTTGATTCAGTTTTGACTTTGACTTAATATGATATATTCTGCAGTGCTGTTAGTTTCACGGGGCATTCTATCCTTTAGTCCCTTCATTACTAGAGGCCAAATCATGCCCTGCATCAAATTTAGCGGCTGAGTTCAGCTATGATGTAACTTGCATTATTAGAAACAAAGTTCACCTAAACATTCAAGAATGCACATGGGAGAAATTAAATATTTATTGTTTTATTGAAGAAGAATTGTTAAAAGGTGATGTGATAATAATCCACAATTAACTATATCATTATAATTTTGATATATTTAACTATTTTTTCTAAAATTAAATATATTACAAGAATTGTAATTGACTAAAATTGATTCCTATATCATATTGTTAGAAATTTGAAGGTACATTAGGCATATGTTACATTAGCATAAAGTGGTTAATAGTAACATAACATAGTTCATCTGTCACCTCTATAGACGTGTCCTAAAAAACATTTGATTAATCTAAATTTTGCAAAGGATATTCTACATAAATGAAAACTAAATTCTTACTATGTTTTATTGGCAAAGACATGATTTTTAAAATGTTAATTCCCTTCTGTAAACATACGATGTTGGAATTAAAACTAATGATTTCAGCATTGACTGAATTTTCATTGTAAGTGTAAACTTAATTCTAAAAAAGTTTGGGTAATAAAGTATATACGTCTATAAATTTAATGCTGACCAAAATACTTTTATGGCTAGCATTCTGTTACCAACATTCTTTAACAAAAAGGGAAATGATCTGAAATGAGCAGAATATGCTTTGGAAACTTTATGAAAGTGATATAAAAGTGGTCAATTTTCTACTGCTTTTTCTCTTGGTAATTTAGTTGCTGAATGATGGTGCATATATTCATGAATATAGGCATATATAGTCCCTATGGGACACTAAGTTAGTTCTTAGTTCTACCAACTTCCCCAAATGATAAGATCTTTATGATACAATACTAGATTAGAAAAGCCAAGTAATGTGTTGAAATTGAACAGGCCAAACAAATATGAGACCTCTCTGCTCAATCTTGTCCTCCAATTGGTTTTGTTCTGCAAATTGTTCTCCTGCATAGGACCTACTGAAGTAGCTATCATCTCATATTATTGGAGTGAATTTCATAAATGAATTATGCAGCTTTTTCTTTCCATTGGCAATTCTGACATCCAAAAGGAAAAGACATTTCTACTTCTAATAATCAAATTCTTAGCTAAGTTAAGGATGTAATGTTCTTACAGACTTCAAAATACAATAATCCTTAAGCCCTATGAAAAAATTCATTTCAATTTTCTTAATAATACTTCCCTTAAAGCAGTGAGGTAATTTTTTTTTAAGATTAAGCCCTATTGTTAATATAGTAGGACCATTTTCAATTTTTATTTGTTTTTATTTTAAATTAAATCTTAATTGAGCAGGATTCCATGTCACCTCTGCAATAAGAACAGAGAAGTTCTTTCACTGTGTTCCTAAAGCAACTTTCTTCAGTCTAGCTATACAACCTAAATGTGTTGGACTATAACTGCCAATAAACTTACAGTATAAGAAGATGATAACTTTAATCCCAATACAGCTAGAAAGAATTTGTAATGCCAGTTGTTTGGGGGCATATGCATACTGTTTCTAGCCTGTTCATCTTTACTCTAGATCAGCTTATGAATATTCTGGCGAACTGACATCCTTTGACATGCCAGTTTATCTTGATTGCAGACTGCCATTGGACAATTGTTATGCTGCTGAGCTCTCTTAGCTGTACCAGAAAAGCAATTGCCAATCATTTTCCATGCATAGAATACTAAACTGAAAGTATATAACTCCAGTTCTTGTTTAGTGACCGCATTTTATTCCAATGACCATGTCCTTAATTAAATTGGTTGCTAAGTGAACATGTGACAGAGAGGGGGAGAGAGACTCCAGCATGTATTGTTGTCAGATACACACATTTTAGTTGTAAATGCACACATTGTTGAAAAATGAATTTTGTTATACCATTTATTACAATCATATTTGTGATCACAGTCACATGAGTAAGATGGTTGTTTAATGAGGACTGGCTGTGTATATACATGCACATGCATACACATACACACACATATGTACAGATACAATAATCAACACTGAAATAAAAAACTATATTGCCACAATGTAGATTTCTAACTCCAGTAGTTTCAGAACTATTACTAGTAATAATGCAAAAAACACAACTTGGATGAGATATAGATGGTTGCTGGTTCATAACAGAAATGTTTTTTAAATGACTTTTTTCCCTGAGTGATTTTTCCACTGGACTTTATTTTTTGTTTTTAATAAATGTCTAAATGTACCAGTGCACTTTTTCATCATCTTTCTGCTATAACTCCAAAATGCATCCAAGGCAATAAACATTTACCCACTTGATAGGATGATTCTGTCACTGCAAGGTAGTTAATCAAAATTAAACATTGGTCTAGAATAAATTAAAGCACAATGAGCAAACTAGACAGCAATGTTTGAGTTGAAAGAAGCAGGCAACAAGGAGCAAGAAGGGAAAAGAGCAAGAAGACATGCCCAGAGATTGCATTGCGAAGTGATGGGGAAGAAGGGTAGGGAGAGTACAAAGCAATGTCCTTTATTTGTGCCTTCAGTATGGTTACGGGCCATATGGTCACTGGGCAAGATGGCAGTGTGAATAAGCCCCTACTATGCTGCTTTTTGCTCTTGATTGAGTTAAACCCATAACATCAATTGTGTTACTTTCTCTTCAGAACAAAAAAAAATACACCTAATGTTAATTTGAATAAGTAGCATTGTCCCATGAATCTTTTACATCACATTCCTAATGGAGAATGCAAAAGCCATTCTAAATTATATAATCTCATATTTGTATCACAGATATAGGAAATATAAAAAATGGTAGAGAAAACACATACTAAATGCTTCAGTATCATACTATTGTGCATGAATATAATCTTTTCAAAACTGCATCACTAGCACCAACATCACCTGATCATGTATTGCATGTATAACTATAACAATTTTCTTTTATAAAATCATATTTAAAGCATTTTATTATCAGTATAAAAGCTTAGCATTTTATTTCATTTCAGGTTCATGATTCATTGAACAAAATTTTTTTCCTAGCGCATGACTTAATTGGAAAAAAGAAAGTAATGAACATACATGCATGTATACACACATACAGAGAAACTGAAAGGGAGAAGTTAAGGATGTTTTTGATGGTTCTAATTGTTAATCTCTTTTTAGTTTCTTCTTCACCTCTTACAGGATTCTATCTTCAATCTCCTTTCCTTCCTTGCTAGTTCATACTGTAACTGACGATGGGTTTTCTTCTCGACTGGCTTCATTTTTGCTGTTCTTCCAGGAGAAAAATCTATTACCTGCATCGACGATACAAGATCCTGAACAGGTTAGTGGGTTTTGTTTTATTTTTTTGGAAATTCAGTTTAATCAAAAAGTTAAATCACCAGAAAAAAATCCTAAACTGTTGATGTTTCCATAAAAGCAGTAATTACAAAAATAATTTTTAATTGAGCTCTTCCAGGCATTATCACTTATTTCACAAATATGGTGATAATATTTATATAACATTTCATTAACTTAACATAACAAGGCTATGAAGGCTTCCCAGTGCTATAAAATCCCAGTTAAGGGATGGATTCTTGATGAAGTGGGCAAGAAGGGGCTATGTTCATGCTCTTGCATGCATTGAAGTAGTTTTTTGGTGTCAAATCCAAAGTAACTGCACCAATCAAATGGAAATTCCCCTGGGTGCATTCCTTTGAAGAGAAATAGTATATGATACCATTCATGAAATTAACATTTAAATTATTTTTTTAGAGTAAACAGGGTCTCTAATAGAAATTAAAGCCTGGAAGAGTAAGGTGTTAATTGCTTGATGATTTGTTGATTGATTGATTATATGCCACAAGTCAGTGTTAACTCTTAGTTAACTTTTCTCCATGAAGAACTGCCCCCAATATGGTCTTTCATATCTTCTAATTGTGCACTCAATACTACTGTAACTGGGTCTATCCATATTACAACTGGTTAGTCTCTTCTTCTCTTTACTTCCTCCTCTTTCAAGATCCTTAGAACCTTCTCCAGGGAACTAGACTTCAGCATAATGTATTCAAAATAGGATAATTTGATCTTGGTCATTTCTGCCTAAAATGAGAACTATGGATTGATCTGTTTCATAATTCGTTTTCTTGGCTATGCATGGTATTCTCAAGTCTTCTCCAATACTAATGTTTAAAAGAGTCAACAAAGGAATTTCTTGACTCACAACCACAACTGGGACAGGAATTTCCATCACTAAGTGATGTGGTCTTTAAATGAATCATCATATGACTGGACCCTATTTTATGACTTTTTGTCATGGACATTAAGCAAACACATGGTTGTTCAGCAATCATGTGGTTGTTATGCAAATGTATCTTCCCTCATTAATTTTGCTTGTTGGAACCCAGTTGGAAAAATCACAAATAGTGACCACATGATCCCAGGAAACTGTAGTTATTATAAATACATGCTGATTGCCATGTACCAAAATTGTAATCACATGACTGCAGGGACTCCATCATAAGTGCAAGGACTGATAAGTCAATTTTCACTGGCATCATAACTTTGAGCAGTTGCTAAGTAAATGGTCATAAGGTGAGGGCTATCTGTACTTTTTGTATCCTGCATTTTCAAAATCCAACTTTCACTTCAATGGCTTGTCACAGGGAATACAGTTGCTTGCACTGCTCACAACTTTGTAGGTAGAGGTTTAGGAGTTATTAACTTTTTCTTCCACCTGATTCCTAAGATAAAATGAAGCTTTTCACTTTTAGCAAAATAACTTCCATCTTCCTTGCATCTTTATTTTGTTATTTTGTTCCTTCTCTAAGAAACCAAAGTTTTATGATTGAAAGCGTAGATAAAGCAGTATAAAATTTTGAAGGAAACAATTTGTTAAAGAATTTTACCTCAGAGAGTCACTGAATATATAGTCAGCCCAAACAAGACACAGACTTATTTGTAAAATAAATTATGATGAAAGTAAATATATTTCACAGAATATTCTCCAAATAATAATATGAAATATCCTATAAAACAACGATAAATAAGAATAATGATAGGACATTTCAGCTAGGAATAGATATTCAGACAACCACAAATATGTTCTAGATTTTTTTGGTGTTTTTTTTCACCTTTCACCAGATCATATGCCTCTTATATTAATGACATTACTTTTCAGTACAATGTAACAAGAAAACAAAATTTAACATTAGCTATTTATTTATTTTCTATAGTCATCCTTCTCAACCTAGTGACTCTGGATGGCTTTAGTTCTAAAACAATAAAACATTTAAAACCAATAAAAACAATCCAAAACTAAATATATATAACTGAGATAATTAATCAATTAATAGTAAAGCCAAGAAATGGGGCCCTTTACAAATTCAGACCCTGGTTACACAGCCAAGTTTTTAAGGCCTTGGGGGAGGCCAACAGGGCTGGGGCCATTCTAAACTCCAAAGGGAGGATATTTGACTGAGCAGGATCTACCAAAAAAAAGAGGCCCGTCTTCTGAACCCTCTCAGTCAACACTCTGGTGGGATCTTCGGGACCAAATTGAATAGGTAGAGACTCTTGGAAAAAGATGGTCCTTCAGGTAACCCAATCCCAAGCCATGTAGTTCATGTTGCTTGTGTATCCTATTTGTACAGTCGCAATCTTGATGGAACAATACAATTTATTACTCTCCTGGTAACTGTTTTGCTTTTATTAAAAAAACAAACTCAGATTGGGAATGAAACACCAGTGTGCATGATATCTTCTAACAGTTGATACATAAAACTCAGCACTTGGTGTCTATATTGATACATTCAGGAAGTTTTCTTGGAATTGATTTGGGATTGTTTTCTTTCACATTTTCCTTCCTAGACTAGCCTATTATTCTCAATTCCTTATCCAAATACTTACCAGACATTATCCTGATTAGCTTTTCATAATCACCTAGCTGGACCAAAACAAGTACTTTTGAAACAAACTAAGATAGCAGTGCTTTTCAAAAAGTTCTCTTTGTAATACATGAGTGGGAAGAAAATGGCAGCAAAATCATTTCCCTAAAGTTCTGCTGCCAGATAATGATTCTAGGAAGTGTTTATTTTATTTTGTGATGTTTTTCAGATAAGATTACATTTTTAATCAAAAAGTTAAACCTTTTGAAAATAAAGTTGCTAATAAATGGTCCATATTGAAAATTTGTGCTAAAAATTAGTGGATAAAGCATCCTGAGATTATTGCCGTAGCATCTTTTCTTATTTGCTACAATTTTTAAAGATCTTACCATCTTTTTGAACTGAGACACGTAAAAGGAAGAGAAATCTAAATGCTTCATTCCTTTGCTTTTCCTTCTCAAAATCTTTGTCAAAGCAAAAATGTGATTCTAAGAGATATATCTGAAGAATTCACCATGCTACCTATTGTGAAACAAGCTAGATTGACAGTTAATATCCCTTGCATCCATAAAATGTTTATGCATAGAAAGTGCTTATTTCCACTTAAATGTATTGGTATAGTTAAGTTTGCCTTCCCTTTCATCTCCTGCAGAATTGAGAAGCAATTAAGCAGGTTTCGAGGATGGGTACCTAGAAAGCCAATGAGCTTGGACAAGGAAAGGCTGCCAGATTTGGAAGAAAATGACTGCTACACGGCTCCATTCAGTCAACAAAGAATTCATCAGTGAGTTTTATTTAAAAAGGCAAATGTGAAAGAAGAAATATTTATATTTAAATGAAAAATGGGATATAATGCTTGATAATTTTTCAAATGCTGAATTCTGAATCCTCCTTCACATATGCTAAAAAAGTCCACGTATCCTTTACCATCTAAGTATTTGCTGGGTACATAATACCTAAATAAAAACACTGTATTTAGTTCTGTTTGATTCATTACACTTTGATTCAACTTCTCCATATAAAATATACCCTATGCAGCATATAACATTAATACATCAATTATGAAGTAAAGACCAAAATATTAAAATAAAAAGGTGAGATAGCCGATCTACTTAAATGCTTATAATCTTCTGCATATAATTCATAATTCTTTTTTTTAGAATAGAATTCTTTATTGGCCAAGTGTGATTGGACACACAAGGATTTATCTTTGGTGCATATGTTCTCAGTGTACATAAAAGGAAAAGGAAAAGAAAAGAAAAAAATACATTAATCAAGAATCATAAGATACAATACTTAGTGATAGTCATAGGTTACTAAAAATCAAACAATCACACTAGGAAACAAAAAAAAAACAACCAAAAACAAACAACAAAATAGTAAAAATATAAGCAACATGGTTATAGTCATAAGTGGGAGGAGATAGATAATAGGAAGGGTGAAAAGAATAATAGTAATACAGTCTTAGTAAATAGTTTGACAGTATTGTGGGAATTAGTTGTTGAGCAGAGTGATGGCATTCGGGGGGATGGGATTCAAATTATATATTAATATATATATTGTAATCTATTTTACAAAGCATCTTATATAACAATTTAACAGCAATAACAAATGCATCTATGGATTTCCATTAAATCTATCAAATGAACAAATAGCTTTCTGACATAAAGAGGTCCTTAACTTGATCCAGATATATATCTTATTCTATTTGATATAAATGTTTACTTTTCTATCACCTCTAAAAATAAAAAGTTGGAGAATTAGTGTAGTACAGTAGTTGGGATTTTAGTCTAGGCCTAAAGAGATCAAGGATCAAGTTCACCATCAGCCTCAGAAATTTACATTTGCCCAGAGATGGCATCATTATTATTTTACCAATATTTAGGGTGTACATAAATGGAAAATGAAAAAAATAGTGCTTGAATTAATTATAGCAAATAAATATTATTTGAAAGAAAATAGATGTTTTAATATGAAAATAAATTTTGAATTATCTTACCTTTGGAAATTTCATGTTGAATTCTATACTAACTATTACCACCACAATAGGAAAAGAAAATTAGTTAAGCACCTTTCTGGTCCATATAGTACATGGGTGATATTTTTAAAACTGACTATTTTTATTTGATATAATGCCATATATCTTAGTATTCTGAAAGAATTATAGCAAAGTAAAGCAAGCTCAACCTATCTTTGAATGTCTTGCAGTAGATAAAAATGTGTTGCCTAAATTTTCTTACAGGAAATCAGTATATTTGACCCAAATCCATGGTTTGTAAACTAATCTAGATAAATCAAAATTAATTAATAGACTGATTTACTGCCGGCTGCACTCAAATTTATTCTTTATATGACCGTGTGCTGCACATCTATACTGCTTTTTTATGTCACTTTGATAGCACTTTCAGATATCTAAATAACCACTATCTTAGTCTACCATATAACAAATGAAAATATAGTATTTCTAGTATTCAATATTTTTAAAAAGGAATGTGTCCAAAAAGTGAATAAAATGACATTTTGTAATCCCAAGTTACATTATTCAGTTGGCCTCCCATAATTAACTTGTCTTATGCTAGGCATTTCAGTTGTTTCCATGTCTTGCAGGTACCTTTGGTTATATACTAACTGGTGTGAGGGTTCAACGACTCTGAAATGTTTCTAACCCAAGCATTTTGGATTTGAAGGCAAAAAGGTATTTCAGTATGTGTAAGATACAATTTCTTAAAGCAGCTGCAGCTTTTCCTGTGTTTTGGAACACCTTTTTGCCTTTGTATTCTAAGCACAGCCTTAATGTTGACTTGTCATATCTGGTAAGGAACACATACTTTTTCATTCAAGTTTGGTATTGATTTAAGATTCAGTGGCCAATTTGGTTAGCATAGAATCGGTAAGGGAACTCATTGTTTGCGTCACAATATAAATTGTGTTATGATCCTTTCATTTTACAAGGCATATCACTGAAGTTGATTTACCTCTTTGTGACTATATATCCTACAAGTCTAATAAGCAATAGCTTTAATTTACAATATTTTTAAAAATAATGCAGATGATTTGAACTTTTATTAGAAAATTCATTTATTTATATTTTTTATATTTTAGTGTTAGTACCTCAGAAATATTAGTGAGACCTTTTCAGTTGTCAGAAACAATAACTGCATTTTCTTGCTTGTATTTTCAAAACAGCTTTATCATTCACAATAAGGACACATTTTTTAACAATGCTATAAGAAGTAGAATTGTTCATCATATTTTACAAAGAGTGAAATATGAAGAAGGAAAAAATAAAATTGGTAAGCATGGGATTTCTGCAAATCTTACTCCCTTTCAACCTTTCCTATTACACAGAATAGAGTTAAAAGAAGCTGCAATATAGATAGTCTTCAGCTTACAACAGTTCATTTATTGATCTTCAAAGTTATAACAGCACTGAAAAAAGTGACATGACCGTTTTTCACAGTTGCAACCTTTAAAGCATCTCCATGATCATGTGATCAAAATTCAGATGCTTGGCAACTGATTCATATTTATGACCATTGCTTTGTCCCAAGGTCATGTGATCCC